TTTTCATTGTTGAGTATGCTAAATAAACCATAAATCCTTATAATGCGATTTAGAAAAATCTTGATCATAGAGGGGATCGAGTTTTTGGCATTTTCTAAATCAAAGTTGTTTAATTAGTATACAAAATTAAATTTTAAAAGAACATGTGTATATTTTTTAAAATATTTATACACTATTTAATAATTAAATTTATTTACATATTTTAAATTTATTACATAAATAAATAATACCAACGTGCATTAAAAACTTTTTTTTACATAAAATAAAAATGAAAAGAAGACGTACAACTTCTATAACTTTATAAATAATAATGACATTATATGACATAAAGTGTATTATAGAATAATAATTACGTATTATATGGTGATTAAGAATAAGTAAAATTGTTATTTTCTCTTATATTAAGGAATAAATATATATACTAACATCAAATTTAAATTAGGATAAATGTGTTAGTGAAATAATATATTAATTATTTTAATATTTTGACTAAAAAAATAACGTTGATTAAAGGAGGTGCGAAATATCTTATAACCTTATTGTTTATTATACTTAACGCTGATTAAAAGAGATGAAAAATAGATAATAATCCTATATCTTTATACACTTAAACGGACAAAACATGTGAAAATAACTCATTTAATATTTCTGTGTCGTGCATCGCACGGGGTACGTACTAGTTATAATAAAGAAGTTAATTCGTTAAAGAGTCTAATTTGGGAAGGACATTTTACCCTTTGAATCCCACAATCGTCATTTTACGTGTCAATTTATGGCTAACTTTAATGATTTATTTCTCACTCGTCGAAAATCAGTTTTGATAAAATAAATATACCACGAGTATTTACTCGGAACGTAGAATTTTTCTATACAATTTAATTCAACCCGAATTAAATATTTAGCCATAGTAGCTTGTGTTTTTCAACAAATGTATGTATGCAGACTATTGTGATCAATCCTCACAAGAAAATTGCGTAAGAAAAAATAGCTTGTGGTTTTGAACCTTTAGTTACGTTATCGGATGTATTGACGCTTAGTGGACATAGTGCCCTAGACTTTCCATAGTCAATGGAAATAGTACAATTTGTGAACAATTGGCGAACAGTATTATGTCTGCGACGAATATGTATAGACTTACCGTTATATATGTTGTTTTGCGCCTTTCCTATAGCTGTTTGGCTATTACTGTGAATCATAGGTGGCAAAGGTTTATTCCAACATGAAATATCGAACAAAAAGTTCCGAAGCCATTCCGCTTCTTCACTAGCTTTATCTAAAGCGATAAACTTTGATTCCATGGTTGACAGAGCTATGTTTTTTGGATTTCCATGAAACTGCATCTCCTCCCTCGGAGGAGTGAGAATCTCTCAAATCTGACATGCAATTATATTTGCATCAAGTGGAGCATGAACAAGCTCCCACGTGCCTCGAGACAATAGAGCGGAAATCTCCTTGTATATTGCTACTTTCCTGGATGTTGGAGAGCCTCAAAATATGGTGGATGTTGGAGATCCTCATAATATGAGAATATGAGTTGGGTATCACTGTAGAAGAAAGAAAGGGAAACAAAGAAAGAGCGAAACAAAGGTCGGAGAACATCAAAGGACATGTGGTTAGTTAAAGGAAGTGTAGTGCATGATCGAGTATCGATTTTGGAGGGCAATAGGAAGATCGGGACTCATAGTAGTGCGAGGAGAGTAGTGGCCCGACTACTACGTGTGTGCACTTGTAGGGGTTTATCATGGGTGGAGGTGGTAAGGGAAAAGGGATCTTTATAAATGGAAGAAGGGTCCAAATTTCCCATAAAGTATGATGTAGACTTCAAAAATTGATAGGCTGAAATAGTGTGGGTCGTTAATGGGATCAAAGCAGTGATACGTTTTTGTGTTCGAGAGCACCCAAGAAAAACGCATTTAAGAAATTGAGGTGATAGCTTATTAGAGTTTGGTGTAAAATTATGGACAAAGCTCACATACCTAAAACCATGAATGGAAGAGTGGCCTGTCAGGATGTAGACATGAAAAAAGAATATCGCCATTTAGGACACATGAAGGCGAATCTCTGAAATGCTATGATAAGCAACCCCCCCAATGTAAATAGGTATATACATCTGATTTATCAAAGTGCAGGTAGTATCCAATGAACGCAATAGAATGTAACCAGATGAGTATATTTCACGACTACGACAACCACGTCGGCCACAAGATGACCCACGTCGGCCACCCCGACTCTAGTCTTGGGCCAGGTTAACCCAGGTCCCAGTTAATCCTTTGGGCCGGTTCGGGTTTCAAAACAATGCATTGAACAGGCTTGATGTAGGGGAAGCGTGAACGAATGGGAAAAATAAAAGAGTAAACGAGATACTCTCTCGTAAAACACGTAAAACTCAACAATATCTTTATTTCATTTCAAATTCATCTGAATAAAACAATAGATGGGGGAGCCCTTTAAATAAGACTCCTAAACATTATTCCTAACTTGTCCAATAAGACAAGATCTCTAATATGTAATTCCTAACTTATTCTCCAATATAATAATAATAATAATAATAATAATAATAATAATAATAATAATAATAATAATAATAATAATAATAATATTCTACACCATTCTCCCCCGGTTCGGAAGGCTTCGCCCTCGAAGCCGATGCGCTCCCGTGGCCGGCGTGTGGTGTCGAACTCATGGTAGCAAATCCAGTCATTTTCTCCGGTCAAACACGAAGGTTGAACATCGCTCAACTTCACATAACAAATTGAGGATCAGATCTTTAGCCTCATAAGACATTTTTTGTTCTTCGAACTTCAAACATGGTCTCCAATTTATTATCTTGCGACATGCCAATGAACGATGATTGCGTTTCCACTGTTGTAGCGCAGTTTCTGCGCCCAAATGTCCGTGGTGCTCATTTTTAGAGTATGGAGCAATAAAATCAGCAACTGCTAGTAACATATATTTCTCCAGTGGCTTACACAAGCCAAAATCAGAAAGCGTCACCTCGGGCCCCAAAGGCTCTTCATCGAAAATAGGCGGACCGTCGTAGATACCGTCCACTTCGCCGGTAAGACACTCCTCGACCTCCTCGGGCCCTTTATCAAACACAGGAAGACCATCGTACAATGGCCCGTCAACATTCTCTTCGTCGAATTCGGGGATGTCTACACGAAACGGGCCCTCCCATCGACCATAATCACAACCAAATTCCCAATCGCGTCGGGCACGATATTCGTCGACGATGGAAGCTTCCTCGCGCTTGCCTATGTCGTCACGTTGATCGTTGCCATTCACGAAGACCGGGCCCCGTCGCCGCATGTCACGGCCGCCGTATGCAGCGAAGGGGTCAGCCTCGACGTGCGAGGGTGGAAAATCGTCGAAGGAATTCACCTCCGATAATGTCTCCTCGCCGTCTTCGTCGCCGGACGGTGGTTGTGGAGATCTCCAGCGGGGCGCCCCGCCTGGACCACGGCCTCCACGTCCTTCGCGAATTCCCCCGCGAACGCCCCGGTTGCTGGCGTCACGGTTCGTCTGCAAATCCTCAACCACGTTGTTGATCGTAAGACGCACTTCTTCGATCCCCGTCGAAAGATCCTCAACCCGACGATCCAATTGATTGATCTGGCGGCCGAATCCCGTGGCTTGTCGACCCGGATACTCAATGGTGGCGTCACGCCCGTCGATGTCGTCCTTCTGCGGCGGCATCTTGAATCGTGCTGACTTCTGATACCAACTGATGTAGAGAAGGGAATGGGAAAATAAAAGAGTAAACGAGATACTCTCTCGTAAAACACGTAAAACTCAACAATATCTTTATTTCATTTCAAATTCAACTGAATAAAACAATAGATGGGGGAGCCCTTTAAATAAGACTCCTAAACATTATTCCTAACTTGTCCAACAAGACAAGATCTCTAATATTTAATTCCTAACTTATTCTCCAATATAATAATAATAATAATAATAATAATAATAATAATATTCTACACCAAGGCTGAAATGAAGAATCCAATCTCGATTGAAATTTCACCACAAGGAACGTCCATTGATTTCTTCGAGTTGGGCGTCATATGACAGTGAAATGGTATAACAAAATTTTGTCTGGGGCCTTCGGTGATACAATGTGATCGTTGCAGTGATGCAATGTGATTGCTAACAGAGCAACGGTCTTAAGACAAAGAGAGAACAATTTCTTTTATAGTTCAAACACATGAGACCTTCTTCTCTGTCGAGTACATAGTTTGTATCCTGAATCTCATTCATAAATTTAAAAACATAATGTTAGCGCTAACAAATTCTTCCATGTGTTAAGAAGGCTGGTTATGATAGAAAAATTAGCTTGCATCCAATTGGTAGCCATCATCTTTTGAATCGGTAGCAGTAGATAGAGATGGAGCAGTAGATAGAATATGATTTAATTTATTTTGTGACCTGAGAAAAATCTTGAAGCTCGTGACCTCAAAATATAGTTTGAGCCTTTGAGTTTGACGGTCATTCCCAAAGCAGGTTTAGTTTCAGAAGTCACAATGAGAAGGTCATCTCAAAACAACAATTTGTGTGTGTGTGTGTGTGTATTTTTGAAAGATCGTCTCAGAACAGCAACAAATGGAAAAGGAGAAGATAATTCTTATTATTGTACGCAAACTCCCAATATTTATTCACCAAAATACACCACCTACCTACCATATGAACATAAATCAAATGAGACCAATCTACCTAACAAAAAGATATGTAACTATAGAATATGTAATAAATATTTTAACATAAGACAAACTCTCAATTCCAGTAGGTAGAGGAAGATCAAGAAATAAGATGTACTAAAAAAAATGATATTGCTGTTTCTCCAACCTGTAAAAATGAAATGTTCAACACCTTGAGTGATTGATTATATGTCTAAATGGGATGATGCTATATTTGTTGTTCCATTACTACTGCTGAATTATGTTTTACTTACCCACTTACTTCGTTGATTGATTGTTGACTCGATGATGTCCATTTTCTTAATTCAGGAAAATAATAGAAATGAGCTTGAGAGACTAGAAAAGGAGAGGCATGATGATTTTGTGAATATGGTGAGAGGATTCATTGTTAATCAGGTATGTTATTTACTGTTAGACTGGTAGAATATTGTTTTCTACTGACAAAGGTTTTATTGCTGGCCTTTTTTTTTTTTTTTTAAACATTTCCTTTTCCGAAGAACGTCACTCCTGACTGTCACGACTCACAAATGGAGTGTGCTCAGAAAAATTGGAAACATGTAAAGATGTGGTGGGGGCCGTGCAAGTCCCACATTTTTGCTTCTGAATTGGATGTTCAATCTGGGATGTAAAATTGATGATTGTTGATGACAACAGGCTGGATATGCTGAGAAGATGGCTAATGTTTGGGAGACAGTTGCTGAAGAAACTAGTGGATATGCAAAGAAAATCGATCGCTGAATATCATCAGATTGTACATATATTTTGTTTCAATGTAGTCATACTGTGTTGTTACCTTCACTATATTTCTTAGACATCAAAACTAGGTGCAAGTATGTAAAAAATGAACGAGCAGTTTGTCTCAATTATTTTAATTTTTATGTTTTCGTTTATATGATCTTTGACGTGTATTGACTGTTCTTCTCAAGACACAAAAATGGTGGAGTTTATTGCAAGTTTTATGGGGAACATCATCACCTTCTTTCATACAATGGATGTGGATTTGGTACAGCATCAAATTATCTTTAAGTCACCAAAACTGCATTATATTCATTCTCAATTGTGTACTACTTTGTTAGCTAAACAATAAGGCAACACAATTAGAAAAGTGTTGAATTATCCACTTGATTAGAGACGAGGACATTATTAGATGATTCCACCTTCATTTTCCAACTGCTGCGTGAGGATGGATGAATGGACGGAATTAAGAAGGATTATTCACATCCATTCATGCCCTCTCATCACATAGAAAATTCCTAGAGTAATCTTATTGGATTATTCACATCCATTCATGTACTTAACACTTACATTTAGTGGGACATATCAAAATTAAAAAATCAAGTGGACTCTCACTCCATGTGAGTGTTATGTACACCTCTATGTACATTTATTATATACTTGTAGCATTTTTCAAATTCTTAATCCAACAAAATTTACACACCCAACAAATAATAATAATAATAATAATAATAATACTAATTAAAAAAAAAAAAAGAAGAATGAAAGAATAAAAATTGCTAAAACACTTGAAAAATCTAAAACAAAGTTACACTACATTACTGCTGCATCATTATCATCTCCGGAGCTAGTTGTGGTTGCTCCTCCTCTAATCTCCTCCAGCTGCTGCAACACCTGATGGGCCTCCGGGCGTGCAGAGGGGGAGGGGTCGACACAGTGCAAGGCGAGCTTCAATGTGTTGAGCAGCTCGTCGCCAATAACAGAGGCATCCCTCATGAGCTCTACATCAAACACCTCGTTTGTCCACTCCTCCTTCACGATGGACGCCACCCACTGTGGCAAGTCCACTCTTCCTTCACCTTCACCACCTTCACTGGGGGATTTCCCCGTAAGGAGCTCCAGTAGGATGACACCCAGACTGTAGATGTCCGTCTTGGTGGTGGCCTTCTTCAGCTTCGACAGCTCGGGAGCACGGTAGCCGAGGGCCCCAGCGGTGGCAATCACGTTGGCGTTTGCAGCTGCTGTCATGAGGCGCGAAAGGCCGTAGTCTGCGATTTTGGGGTTCCCGTCCTCGTCTATCAGGATGTTGGATGATGTCAGGTTCCCGTGGATGATGTTGATATTGTTGTGGAGGTACACTAGCCCTCTTGTCGTGCCCTTCCCAATCTTCATCCTCATATCCCACGAGATTGCTGTGTCCGGACCACGTGCTGCAAATAATATTGCAATGAAATAATAAATCTTGAAAACTTCTCTCACAAATTTTAGAAAAACAAACTAATCATCATCAATCAACTCACCATGAAGGAAAGTAGCAAGACTCCCTTTAGGCATGTAGTCAAAAACAAGCAGTTTCTCCCCCTTGGGACCCAGATAATAAGCTCTAAGCGCAACAAGATTAGGATGTCTAATCTTCCCAAGCGCATTAACCTCACTCTCAAACTCTCTTTGCCCTTTACTCATCTTTTCCCTCAACCTCTTAACTGCAACTTGAATCCCGTCTTCCATCGTCGCCTTATACACTGTCCCGTAAGTACTTTTCCCCATTATCTCGGCCGTCGCACACAACAGATCGTCCGCACTGAAAACCAATGGCCCATCAAAGTGAACAAGCTTCCCGCCCGTCTCGCCCCCCGCCTCCACCTCGGCCGCTGTGGGGGGAATGCCCTTTTCGCCCCTGGCCTCACCCGTTTTCCCATTTTTGCCATCCATACTCGTCTTCCTTCTCCTCAGCAGACAGCACAGCAGGACACAGCAGATGACAAGCAAAATTACGAGGAGGGCCCCTGCCACAATTAGGATGATGTCCTTGGTGCTTAGCTTTCGGTGTCGTTTTCTGGGGGGCGCAGGTGTTTGGGAGGGTGACACGGGACATGGGGTCGAGGGGCTGTACCCACAGAGCCCGAGATTGCCCTCAAATGCACTTGGGTCGAATTCCGAGGAGAGATTTGTAGGAACGGGGCCGGATAGATTGTTGTACGAGACATTAAAAGAATGAAGATTTGGCAAGTCCCCTAGAGAATTTGGAATCTCACCACTCAGATTGTTGTGAGACAAATAGAGCTCCCTAAGCGAGGAGATAATGCCAATGGAGACCGGGATTGGACCTGCAAGTCGATTACTGCTCAAATCAAGAAGTGAGAGATTTTTTAAATTGGAAAAGCTATCGGGCAGGGTCCCATTCAAGAAATTACTAGACAAATCAAGCGCAGTAAGTCTTGAGAGATTGGCAATGTTAGTAGGAAGAGAACCAGTAAGTTGATTATTCCGGAGGTTAAGATACTGCAGCTGAGGAGGCCAAGAAGGCGGGATATAACCGGAAAGAGAGTTGTTCTGAAGAGCAAGGTAGAGCAAAGATGGGGACTGAGCAAAGGTAATTGGGATTGAGCCGGACAAGGAGTTAAAGCTCAAATTAAGGCTGAAAAGCCTAGTTGAGTTAAGCAGGGTAGGTGGTATAACCCCAGACAAGGAATTGTTGGCGAGATCAATAGTTTGCACAAGGGGAGGAAGGGCGAGGGAAGAAGGGATTGAACCAGAAAACATGTTATTAAACAACTGTAATCCTCTGAGGGTGGGGATAAAACCTAGAGAGATGGGAATTACACCGCCAATTTGATTGTCATGGAGGCTGAGCTTACGCAGAGCTTGAAACTGGCCGATCCTTTGGGTCAAGGTGCCGGAGAGACCCCTCCAGGGGAGCTGGATGACAATAACCTGGCCCTGGGCGCATTTGATTCCGGCCCACCCGCCGGAGCAAGCTCCGAAGCCAGAATCGTTCCAGCTTCTGAGGAAGCCTTTGGGGTCGATTAGGTCACGCTTCAAGGCTTGGAGGGCTTGGAAATCGGCCTGCGTTACGATGATACCGTCCCAAGAGGAGGAGGAGGAAGCTGGGGGGGCGGCCGCCACAAATAATAATAATAATAATAATAATAATAATAATATTACGGTTGTGGGCTGGTTGTGTGGAGGAATATGAATTATTCTCTTCCATGTCTTCTTCTTTCCATGGGAGATGTGCTGATTTTCCTCCATAACCAAAATATTATTAAGACAAGAGAAGAATTTGATTTTTTGTTGATGTAGAGAGAGAGAGAGAGGGAGGGAGAGCCAAGAAGCAAGAGGAAATGAACAGTGCGCACAAGTTTTTTTTGTAGTGTGAAAGGACGAGCTAGAGAGAGAGAGAGAGATAAATAGAAGGAATCAATCTAAATAGATCATACTAGGATTATTTATTTATTTTTATTATTTTGTGTGTGTGTGTGTGTGTGTGTGTGTGTCTTTGTTGGGGAGAGACATAAAATAAGAGTTGTCAGCAGCAGGTGAGGGTGAGGTGTTATCAACTCAACAGTCAACACTACTCTCTCCCTCTCTCATCCAAAGGGTGCAACGGCTAGTTTTCGTGGATGGGTTCTTATCTTATCATATAACTTACTCCTGGCTACATACATCTAATTTTGCACGCATGTCTATGGTTTTGGGAACAACTGCCCATTTAATATTTAATAATCATAATTTATTGTTTATTGTTTTTAATGCAGGTTAGGCTCCTCCAACGGCTATCTTTTTCATTCAACTCTTGTTCACTGCTATGAAAGTAGGGCCATTTTTAAACTATGCATTTATATGACAATAATGTCCCTGAGGTCTAAATGAAATTCCGCTTACATGTTTTCCTTTTTGGCTTCTATGACGTAATTAAGCAGTTTCGGTAGGTTGTGTTAGTTATAAAATTTTTCCACTTAAAACTTGTCCCTTTCCTAATTTCCGAGGTTTCTTTCTTTCATATTCATTTCATTCCAAGGCACATAACTTTTACAATCAATCAATCATTAAAAAGCCATTAAAATTTTACTAACCAAAGTCTGACTATATGAATCACATGACGTCATCGTACTCCATCAAAGTAAATATCATCATTCAAATTTAAATTATTTTTTATTGTCTCATTTCAAGTTTTCTTAGGTCTGCTTCTTCCCTTTTAATTTGCAGTCTTAATTTTAGTGTTTCTACACTTCTCACTGGTGTCTCGAAGTCTCTCTCCTACGTGTTGTTAAACGGGAATTAACAACTATATAATCAACAAGGACTTATTGTAAATTCAAGATAAGGTAACAAAGACTACATGAACAGTGAAATAAGATGGAATGTTTTGAATATCATTGTATGTCTCCCTTGTCTGATTGGAGAACTTTTTCTCCTTTTATATTTATTTACAATATTTATCTAACATATAATCATTACATGAGAATAGTCAATGGCAGCTAATTGCCATTCATCCTGGTAACGTGCCACTCGGCCAAGTGTAATGATGAGTTATGCTGAGTTGGCACCACCTCGTGGTGTCGGCCTAGCAAGTCGTAGATATCGGCTCGTGTAGCTATAACCGATATGTCACATCCGACATGTATTAACCGACATGTCATAACCGACATGAGATATCGGTCAATTGACGACGATGTCGGTTCTTGATGAATTCTTACCCGATATGTGATTGTCTTGAGACCTGTGAAGACATCATCTACTTTGTACGAACTTAATTATCCTCTTACTGAACATACTCATCTGATCACCGTTGCTCAATTTGGTTTACTGAAAATGATGTCAACAAGGTGGCCCCCAGCATTAATGGTTGTCTTGAAAAAGACGGGCAGTGATGCTGAAAATTCCCTAATGATCATTTAATCTTGAGCAAGTGAGACATGTCGGTTTTGCAACTGTTCCTCCGATATCTTTACACTTGGCAGAAACAATACTGAGAGTTGAAACGGCGCAATTTATTAAGATTAATTGCAACGTTTACTGATAGGGGTAACAATCTTTTTTATTAGGCCACGTAACCGTTGATGATAGGCGCGATTCTCAAGAGTTGTGTCGACCCGCGAATTAAGAACGTCTGGTCCACGCGCCCCTATTTCTTTTGTTTTCCAACGGTCGCTACTAAATTTAGGGTTTAGTATAAATAGGAAATCTTCTCTTGAGATTCACTTTACTTTCACCTTCTTCTTGCAATCGACTCCTTTGTTTTCTTTGCAAATTAATCATCTCTCAACTGTACTCAGAGCACCCCAGATCTGCGAACTACTTCCTGTGGTAAGAATTATTTCTTTATTTCGTTCATCTACTTCGACCCCTTTTTTTTTATTCTCGACATCATGAGCGTATCGTGGGCGTCTTCCGGTGACGATGAGTTGGATGTTATGATGATCAACATGGTCCACTCCGGGGAGATGGAATTGTTGTCCGAATATAGTCGGTGGGATCTGGTATTTGTCGAACGATTGAATATTCGGCTAAACGACATCGAGGGGGACAAAACCGTAGAGGAAAATGCCGTTGATGACTCGAGATTCTTGAGGCGACCCATTAGAAGATGGTCGGACCCCGAACTCACATCCCATGGTGAACCGAGCATATTAACAGATGCTGATGTTGTCATGCTGCGAGGTGAAATTCGGGTCCCTACGTCGGTGCATTTATTTGCACCATATCCGGGCGAAAGGATCACATGCCTGCCACCTGGATGTGTCGGCGTATTTGCTGAGAGTTTAAGATCAGGGCTGCGATTTCCTCTGCCGCGCATAATTACTGAGTACTTAAGGAATTGGGAATTTCCATTATGCCAAATTGCTCCGAATTCGTGGAAACGAGTTATCGGTTTGCTCGTGCTTTTAGCCGAGAAAAAATAGGATTTACTGTCAGCAAGGGACATGAGAAGCATGTTTACCTTTAGGAAAAGTCCAGATAGACAAGTGACGGACCCACTTGTGACTTTCTCACTTGTCGGTAAACCTCAATCTAGAGTCAAAGTCGGAGAATTAATAGCTGAAATCCCCGACACACTCCATGGATTCCAGGAAGAATGGTTGTGGGTTGGTGGAGATTGGCAATGTGCCGACTTCGCCAACGACCTTCTTGCCAATGGGACTAGTATCCCGATGGCGATTAAATCTAGTTACTGTAAGTTTCTTATCTTTTTCTTCACTTTGAGTATTAATGTCTTGTCTTTTGTCTTCGCTAACAGGTGAACTTTTGTGACCTTGTAGCAAAGCCAGCGGGAAGGAGAGAACCCAAATTTGAAGGTCTACTGTACGAGGGTGGACAAGTTGTTTGAAGTTTCCCAAAACAAGCGACGATACCAACGACTTGTGAAAGATTCCCGATTAGAGCTTGCTGGCTTATCCCTCGGAGTACTGAACTCAGTGTTTCAACCAGGTACACTTCTTACTTGCTCTGTTTTCTCCTTCACAGTGACAACGTCGGTCTAATTTACATATCTTATGGCAGTTTATTATCCGCTGCTGGGATATTTCGGTTTTGTCAATCCCGTGGAGGCGGAAGAATATCGGAGACGTAATCCGAACTTCAATTTGAAGAACAAAGTCGGAAAAAACAAAAACCTTCGATCAACCGAGATGGCTGGACGCATGAACCTCCTGAAGGCATGGAAAAAGAACCCCAACCGATCTCAAAGTGCTGTTGGTGAGCCATTGTCAACAAGGGTGGAACCCACACCGGCGATTGTGAGTGAGCCGTTGGTTGCCGACGTCCCGCCACTTGACGTTGCTCCAATACAACAAGTTATGACGCCGGTAGAGGAACCTACTGCAGTGACCGACATCTCGCAGGAGGTGTCGAAAGAGCCGCTTTTGAATGTAGTCCAACGGCGTAAGAGATCCAGCGTGTCGCATGTAGCCGAGAGGATGAAGAAAAGGCAAGACACTGGCGTTGGTAAAGATTAAGAGGAGGAACCCGAGATCATTTTGAGGGATTCCTTCCTCAAAATAAATGAGAAGAAAGCGGCGGAGCTAAAGCTGCCAGAGGGTGTATTCGACCCTTGGTTCGCCATGTTCCAAACAGTCGCCGAGCCAAAAGTTACAATCAATCACTGGATCCCCAATGAGGCGATGAAGGCGGCAAAAGTCCCGTTAATGTCATGGGATCCAAAAACCCACGCCGGGATTGTATCTTTGCCCGACGATCAGAAATTCAGCTATGCCCGAGGTTGTTTGGGACGGGCGCTTGTTAGTTTCATTGCTGCTGAGGAGAGCTATCGGGGTAGAGCACACGAGCTTGATGAAAAGCAACATGAGTTGAATTTGAAGGAGGATGCCATAACGTCCTTAGAGGATGAAAAGTCTCGATATGAGGCATCAATGTCGGAGAAAGATGCCCAGTTAAAAGCGGCACAAACTGAGGTGGGCGCCCTTAAGACTGAAAGGGAAAATCTCTTACTGGCTCATGACCTCATGTCGGTTCAGCTGGCCAAAGTCGAAGAAACGGCCAAGGAAAAAGATGAACAGCTCATGAGGCTAAGGGATGAGCTTCAAGCTGTCTGCAAGGACCGATCCGATAAGGACGCTGAGCTTATCCGATGTCGTGAGGCCCATGAGATTGCTATGACAAAGCTCCGTCAAGAGATGACAGCTGCAGCCGAACTCAGATTTCAGGAGGGTATCGACGTCGGTAAGAAGGCTGTGACAGGATCCGACAAGGCGTTAAGTGCGGATGTGGTAACCGAGTGGGATTTAGAGCTAAACGCCGCACTAACGTTGCGCTGGGTGATCGACAGAGTGGAAAACAGCGTTTACTCCATTGATGAGTTGCGTATCTTCCTTCTGCATAAAATGGAGAAACATGGTCTCAACCCTGAGATGAAGAGTGCCCATATCCCAGCAGATCAAGATGAGCGAGATTTCACCGACCGACTTCTAAAGCAGAAGGAAAGTCGGATGCTAGAATTGGATATGGTGCCTTTGTCGGAGAAGCGCAAGGCTAAAATCCGCCAAACGTTTGTCGATATGGTCCTCGAAGTGGAGAAGGCTAAGAAGCCTGAAATGGCAAATATATGCGTGGAGACCATTGCCGAGGCCTTTGTCGCTGAGATACTCGAAGGCCTATCTGATGAAGAGCTCTTGGGCGCGATTATCAGCTTCGCCTTACGAAAGGTGGCGGAGGACGAAGCCAAGGCTAAAGGATGGGTGGCTGATCCAGTTCCCTCCGACGATGATCGTGTCTTGCACGAAGATGATGAC